GGCGTCAAAACCCCGTGGGGAGCCTATCGGACTCACCGGCACCGGCCGGTCTCTTTCCGGGGGGGCCGCATTTTTGAGTTGGGGGGGGCACAAGGTCAATTGGCCCCGAGTCTGCTGTCGGGGTGGCGGTCGGCGCAGCGGCGGCGTTTGAGGCGGCGGGTGGCGAGTTCCCGACGGCGGTCCAGGCGGAGGCGGGCGAGCCGGAGGTGGGCGAGGCGGAAGCCAGCGCCGCTTCAGGGCAGCCTCAACAATACGACGTCAGCAGTCTGTCGGCAGAGGTCGCGCTCTGGCGCCACGACCTCGGCCGGCCGCCACTCGAGAGCTGCGCGGCGCAGGAGCCGCCGCCGACGGTGCTGCCGACCGGGGCTGAAGGGGTGCTGGCGGCGGCGGCGAAGGCGGCGGCGGCAGCGGCAGCGGCGGCGGCGGCGGCGGCGCCGGTGCAGCCCGCAGCGCCTGCGAGTCCATCGTCCCCAAGCGAGGTCCCTGCCCAGAGCAGCCCTGCGCGGCTGCACGCGAAGGGCGTAGCAGAGGGCCGAGACGTCGAGGCGCGGCCGCCGTCCGAGCCTTCCGCCCGAACCGGCGCCCCGGCCGCCCTTGCAACGACAACCGCCCTCGCCTCGCCGGGCGCCCTCGCAACGGCCCTCGCCACCGCAACAGTCACCACCGCAACGGTCACCACGGCCGCCGCCGTCGCCGCTCCCTCCGCCCGCGCCGGTGCGGGCCTCGCCACCTCGGCCATCCTTGCGGACTCCCTTGTACCTTCTCGAGGCGGCGCCGACGGCAGCCCTAGCGATGGTGGCGCTCCGGGCGGCGACGCCATCGGCGACGCTGGCTCCGGCACAGCGGGAGCGGAGGCTGCCCTTGCCTCCGCGTACGGGGCATCCAAGGAGTGCGCCGCCGTCAGCCGCGAGCTGCCGCCGCTCGCCGACAACGCGGCGGCGGAGGAGCGCGCGTCGCTGCTCAGCAGGCTGCGCCGCTTCTACAGCGTGCACAAGCCGAGCAAGCTGAGCGAGACGGGTGCGGGATCGCTCGAGGCGGTCGCGGCCTTCTACGAGGGCCGCGAGGGCGAGCTGGACGCAATCCTTGTGGGGAAGTACCAGGTGGGGTTTTCGTCGGTCGGAGGGGCAGCGGAGGCGGCGGCGGCGGGCGGCGCGTAAAGTAGTTAGGGGCGCCCCGGTCCCTCTAGTGCAGCGCAGCGCAGGGGCAAAATTAGAGGCACGTAGAGCCGCAGCGCGTCTGTGCATTTGTGTGCGCTCAAACTAGATAAATCTAATCGCAGCCATTTAATCACAGCATCTCGTTCGTGTATAACCTGTAACTCGTTCGCGTGGGCCGGGGGGGCTGGGGACTTGGCTCTTGGGGTCGTGCAATTTATTCAACGGCTATCCATTTCACTGCTGCTCGCGTTACAAAACCTTGATTTTGACCATTTGCGCCATTTTGTGCCTCTCGGTGCCTTCCAGATAGGCAGCTGTGACCCCGCCAAGTAGACGGCGGCACACAGCAGGTGCGGTGTGCCGCCGTCCACTCGGCTGGATCGCAGCTCGATACGACGCCTGCAACCCGTCTCCGGTCAAGTGGCACGACGCTCATCGCACCTGTGCCAGCGCTGCCGTGCAGGTTGCCACGACGCTTCTAGACGCTCGCCCAGCCTTCCTTTCTATCCCATTGGGCAGTCTGGGAACGGTGGCGGTCAGAGGCAAAGCCTACAAGGGGTGGTGGAACCACATGTCACGGCTACTGCCGGCTCGACCCCACGATAGCCTCCGAAGGCTGACTTTGCGGCACCATCATCGGACGATGTCGACGCATTGGGTCGCTCTCGCGGTAGCCAGATGACCTCTCATACTAGGAGCATCGGCCATGGCCGCAGGGAGCGCGGGGGAAGGCGCTGGAAGCAACACGGAGCTCCGTTGGAGACGTTTTCAAGATCATAAACTTCAGTCTGCAGGGGGGCAACTCCCTCGCACGACACTGGGCACGGGACTGGCGCGCACTGGCACTAACACAGGTACACCACGGGAGCCCGAAGAAGAATTTTAGAGCGCCCCTGGATTTTTTTCTTCCGTGAGCTCAAGTGTCAAGAGCATGCAGAGCGCATCTCTCTCTCTGTTGTGCGAGGCGTGAACCGACCGCGCCATTCGCTCTCAGCTGGCAACCCTGTCTGCACGTCTCGCGCGCGCGTGAACAGGGAGAATGTACTCGGCGATGAGAGCCTCTCCCTCGCCGCACGCAAAGAATGCCCGCACATCGTCGCGCGTCCAAAATCGACAGTCCCGTCAGTCGTGAGGGCGAGCCATCCGTCAAAAAGGCAAACACGAGACTCCACCATCGCCTCCAGCCGCTTCGACCCAGGCTGAAAGCTCGCAATCTGGGCAAGAACAGCGCTGGCGTAGCCGGCGCTGCCCGGCGTCTGCGCAACAGCCAGAGCGACAGGCTGCTCTCGTCCCTGTACACTCTTCAGGCTCCGACCATACGCGGTGCGCTGTGCGTTCGCTGAGAGGGCCGCGACCTCGGCTGGACTTGCATATGGCGTCATCTCCCTGGCGCTCGACGCGCATCTGCTGCAGGTAGTGGCCGAGTTGTGGTTGACAGCGTCTCTGCAATGCCGACATAGCCACCACTCCCAGCCGCAGCTGCGGCATCGTGCGCCATTCGGCGGCCGACGGTCTCTGACCGCGCTGCGCTCGCAGCTGCAAAGACGCCGCCGCAAATGCCGCCGGACCCGCATCCGGAAGAGCCAGGATTCCAGCTGCCGTCGCTGCTCCATCCCCCGCAACAAGCGTGCGATGCTGCAGCACTGCGCCAAGAGGCGCAGCAACCTCGACCCGGGTGTTGCTCGAGTCCGCAACGCCCACGGGACGAATGCGATTGCCTGGCCCTATCGCCAAACGGCCCTGCTCCTCCTCTTGTCTGGCAGCAAACGCAAGCTGCGGCACAAGCCGCGTTGGCGCAGAGGAGGCGGCAAGCCTCAACGCGCCTACCCGTGGCATCCCGCCGGATCGGGCCAAGACTAAGGCTGCAGGCGTCGGCCCCGGCTGCTGCGAGGGCCCTCCCGTTGAGGTGTCCATCTTATGTGCAGTGGGGCTACAACTGTAGCACGTCGGCAGGATCCCCCAAACCGTCATAATCCCCCCCAAATTGAATTCGACCGCGCCCAAAGCTGCCCCCCCCCCCCCCCGCAAACTTTAAACCCCCATAAGAACTATCTGCAGGGGCTCCAGGCCCCCAAATGACAACACGTGTGAGTGTTAGAGTTGTTTGGTATTGCTAAAAATCTCTCTCTCTCCCGACCTATCCCCTCACGGAAAGAAATAAAGCAGCACGGACGCCTGGGAGGTTGTGCGAGGCGGCAGCATGAAAGTCTTCATATGGGCCCAGCCCGATCACCCGCGCCGCCCTCGCCCTGGCCAGGTAATCAAACAGGCAGGAGAGCGATATCTCATTGCCCCGGCGCCCACGCGCACGCCTCGACCTTCTTGGGCAGCAGCTGGTTGGACGTGTCCTCCCCGTGGCCTAGGCAGCCGTCCTCGCCCTTGCCCCAGGTAAAGAAGGCGCCGCCGGTGGCGAGGGCGAGGCTGTGCCCGCCTCCCGCCGACACAGCGACGACTCGCTGGCCCGCCAAGGCTTCGATCTTCTTCGGCAGCAGCTGGCTCTGCGTGTCGCCGTGGCCCAACCTGCCGTAGCCTCCATTGCCCCAGCTCCAGACAGCTCCGTCGGCCGTGCGGGCGATGCTGTGGCAGGATCCAGCCGACGCAGCGACGACGCGCTGGTCAGCCAAGGCCTCGACCTTCTTGGGCAGCAGCTGGTTCTGCTGGTCGCCATGGCCTAGCTGGCCTTCCGCTCTCCAGCCCCAGCTCCAGAGAGCGCCGTCGGCGGTGAGGGCGAGGCTGTGCGCGAATCCAGCCGACACAGCGACAATGCGCTGACTAGCCAAGGTCTCAACCTGCTTCGGCAGCAACTGGTGCTGCTCGTCGCCGTGGCCCAACCGGCCAAAGGCTCCCCAGCCCCAGCTCCAGACGGCGCAGTCGGCGGTGAGGGCGAGGCTGTGCCCGCCTCCCGCCGACACAGCGACGACAAGCTGACCAGCCAGGGTCTCAACCTTCTTCGGCAGCAACTGGTCCTGCTGGTCGCCGTGGCCCAACCTGCCATAGGCTCCTGCTGCTGCTGCTGCCGCTGCTCCCCCTCCTCGCGCGGCCTAAAGCAGACGAAGCAGAACTTTCGTTTGGGCGGCACATCTCGCACCGTTTGCGGCTAGAAGAGCGGCGTTGCTGCCGTTTGCGGCCGACAACCCGCGCGACCGCCGCCGACGGCCCTGCCTCTCCTGCCGCCGGCGCCTGCCCCGCGGCCCGCGCGTACGCCACCGCCGCCTCCACCGCCGTGCCGAAGGTGCCGAGGCAGACCGTCCTTCCGTCCCTGTGCTTCGCCTGGAAGCGGCCAGGGGCCTGCGCGTACACGCCTAAGTAGCCGGTGTTGTTGCTGGAGAGGTGCAGCTGCAAGCCCTCCGCCTCTGTCGCCACCGACGGAGGAGGAGCCGGAGGCTGGTACTCGCCGACCGCCTGCGCGTATGCCACCGCCGCCTCCACCGCCGTGTCGAAGGTGCCGATGTAGGCATGGTTGTGCTCCGCCCGGAAGCGGCCATAGGCGAGCTCGTACACGCCCTTGTAGCCGGTGCTGGTGCGGCTCGAGAGATGCAGGTGCAACCCCTCCGCCTCCGTCGCGACCGCTACCCCTTGTAGCTTGGATGCCGCCCGCCCCGGCTTGGACGCCGCGAGCGCGTCGGTGCGCGGTGTCAGCGGCATCAGCTCTGTGCGCGCAGATACAGCCCCGCCCGCCGCGGTGGCGTCGGCGACTCTCGCGAGCAGAACGGTTAAAAGAAAAAATTCCACGCAGACACTGGCACAACAAGGGCGCAGGGGGGGGCGACAGGGGGGACGTGGCCTGAGTGATGTGTACGCCCACTCAGGATGTGTGGCAGCCCGCTGGCTGTGTGTCTTGTGAGCTTGTTTGTGTCTGTGTGTCGCTCGTGCGTGTCGTCATCATCTGTCTTGCGTGCACCCATACCGCGTTGGTGTCCAGTCCGAGCCTGACTGTTCTTCACCTTACTACATACATACATACGGGCGCAGGAGAGCCCCACCTGTCCCCCTGATCGTTCTTCCAAAATCCTGCTCGTGCAGGTGGGGACCCTGTCCTCGTCCCATCCCTCGTTTGGCGTGTCTGTTTTCTTTCTTTCTTTCTTACAAGGGCGCGGACTGGCGCGGATAAAAAAGAAAGAAGCGGCCCGCCGCTCGCCGCTCGCTCGGCCGAGACTGCCTGGATCCGGGGGGGATCTCTCTACTTCAGACGAATCTCGCTCTCGAGAACCTCGAAAGAAGGCGGACCTCCGCGATGGCCATCGCTGCGTTCTTGCTGCTCGCCTCCGCGGTGAGCGCGACCCCGCTGCACGCGGCGGTCCTTGAAGAAGCGAGACATGCTCGACGCGCGAGGCTTGAACGCTGCACGTCGCCGCCGTGCGAGGGCACCAGGCAGCAGCAGCGCGACTGCTGCTACAGCACCACGCCTTGGCGGCGCGAGCAGATGCCCAGGGCAATTTGACATGTGCCAACTGCGGGCTCAACCAGAAGACGTCGGGGTGCTCTTCCACGCGTCAGCTCGACCCTGCTCCGATGAGAGCTCGCGGCCTAAATGTGCGGCGAGCCAAGCAAATGCCAGCGATGCTCCACAGGCTCATGAGCGTCAACACGGATGCACGCCGGGCTTGATCCGGCACGTTGACGAGCCCTAGAGGGCCGGCTTCCGGGTAGGCGTCCGGAAAATCGCATGCAAAAAGCAGAAGAATGGGAGGCCAGAAGATGAAAGAACCAGCGGCGTCGCGCGCGGCCGACGAGGCAATCGCCACGCTAGTTCGGCGCACAAAGCTTTGGAGGTCTGCCTGGTTGCTCGAGCGCGCGAGGCGCTCGCCACGTTGGAGGCTAATGGCAAGAATGCTAGGAGACCAGGCAAGCAGGTATGAACAGGCAAGCATGAAGAAGATGCCTTGGGTGAATGTCGAGGTCTCTCGAAACCATGCGCTCACGCCCAAAAAAAGGCAAAACGCAGGGAGCAACAACAAGAGGAGGTTGGAGTACAGTGTAGTTGAACCACTGACTCGTTGCAACACCTGCTCCTTGAGTTGTGTTCGTACCATGTGATTGAACGCGTCCAACCCATCGGTCCCACCTCGCAAATAGATGGCACCGATTGCGGCATAGATCTCGTCGCGGTCAGTTGCACTGTAACAACCAGCCACTCTCACGTCAAACGACTCAAGGCAGCGCTGTAGAGCTATCCGCTGAAGTGCCATGGAGGCTCCAAAGAGGGTGACGCAAACGTAGAGGAGGAAATAGAGTACAAAAGAGAGTGCTGCCAACATTGGCACCGTGAATTGCCAGTAATCATCACCCACCAAGACTCTCTCTCCAGTTGGACCGTGCATCGATCCTGTCAGGTCGCCACGGTAGAAAAGCATCATAGACAGCAAAAACATGCCAAATCCCACCGCGACTGCCGCCATCATCACACCAAAGAGGACGTAGCTGCGTAGCGGCAGAAAAGTCACTGGCCTGTTCGGATGGATCGCTCTGTACATTGCGAGTTCGTAGACGCACCAGAGGCGGCTGAAGTAGTGCTCGTCCCAGAGCACAACCAGCTGAGAGGACATTGCGACGAACCCAGCCAGGTGCCGGATGCCCTGGGTCTTCAGAGCTCGGTTTGTCTGGTGGATGCAAGCCGCGTCAACAAAGTATGACCGCTGTCGCTGCGCCGCCAGCCAAACAAACGCTGACGCGGTGGCGGCTATCAAGCCAGCGACGTACTCGTGACAGGATGCGATGAGAACGATCGGGTTCTCAGCCACCACCCGTGTTCGGATGCTTCCGGGTAGTTCGATTGAGCGTTGCAGGTGAGCCATCAGCAGGCTGGCGACAATACCGACGACCAGTGGCGCAAGCCCGACCTCGTGCAGAGCGAGAGCCGTCCACTTGCTCCAACCTTCCGACCGCCACGCGTGCGAGATGAAGGAGTCGATGGCACAGACAGGGCGCGACCGCTCATAGAGACGTTCTCGATCCTCACGGTCCAGCCGATCCGGCAGCTTGGCGAACAGATTGTTGAAAGGAGACGCAAGTGTGCTGGCGATGCTGACGCCTCTCTGGAGCTCTTGCGGCGGATGGAGCGTGCTGGCTGCGGCGATGTACTTGGAAACGTTCACCGCCTGCGCTACGGCGGACTCGCTGGACTGCAACGACGCCGGCGAGGTCTTCCTATCGTGCATCCTGGCCGGTCCTTGGGTCTGGCTAATGCGGATCCGGGGCCAGTGGACGTGTCATGAATTCAGGACGATTTTTTTTCTTTTTTCGTAGAGGAGGGGGAAAAGGAACCCCCGCCCAAAACGGTGACCCACTGCCGAGGGAAAAGAATTCAATCCACAGCGCGGGAATTGCGCGCCCGCCGCCGCCGCCCCCGTCAAAACGAGCCCTACGTCGCCGCGCACCTTGAGGCAGTTGACGACCCGCGTGAGCGCTCGTCGTCGCCGATGGCCATGCTTTCTTTGCTGCCAGCGAGCCTGGCCTTCGGGCCCACGCCGTCGGTGCTCCAGGGTCCCCCCAGTCAAGGGGGTCTGGGGCTGCGCCCCAGGTAGCCCGCCGCAGGCGCCGATTTTTTGGGGCTTTTTTGACTGATTTTCATGAGGTGTTGCTACTAACTATTTTGGGACCAGTTGAAGCCTAAAAATGGCTACAAATACAGTCACAGCAGCTGCTCGTCATGAGCTGCTACTGTGTGGCAGAGCCCGCCGGTGCGGCACGCGGAGCACTCCGTGAGCGGTGACGGGTGCGGACGAGCGAATGAGAGGTCCCTTTCAGTGAGAGATAGGCAGTCCTAGTCCCTAACAACACATCTTCCACAGATAGCGACCTCTCATTCGCTCGTCCGCGCCCGTCACTGCTAGTCGGGGCACTCCCGGCGTACGGCCCGGTCCCGGTCGTCACTCCGGTTGCTCGTGTTCACACCGTCAGAACTCAGCTCCGCTAAGGATCCAGCGTCTGAGACTTGGGCATCTTACACAACTTTTGTAGTAGAGCACAATGGCACCCTTGCATCAAGTGCATCACTTCATTAATAGACCGTAATAGAGGTCCCCGTTTTCGGCCGCCGCGGCCGGAGAGCACCCCCGTCGCCCCCGGGGGGCCGTCGACACCCCAGGACGGTCCCGCGCCTCGCCGCTATGACGGGGACACACCCCGCACCGTCCGCTGTGTCCCCGTCTTTGTCCGGAGTGAAAAGTCCAACGCGCTCGTCGGTGGCGGCTTCCCCCAACTTGCGCCGCGCTCGGCGAACCTCGACAGCGCTTTCGGTGGCATGCAGCTCTTTGCGACAGAAGCCTGGAGAGCAGCTCCTCTGCTGCTCACACACTCTGCACAGTTGACACAGCCTATTGTGCGGCTGCCACAGCTGTGACAGCGATGGGCTCGCCCTCACTGGCCCTCAGTCACTTGTGCTGCGGCTTGTGTGAGCGACACTGCTCGGCGACTGCCGGCACACTGTGAGACCATGGGTTTGAGGTTAAACCACGCTACCAGCGCTTGGTCACATCGGCCCCGAGGTCAGATCCTTCTACTCTGTTGATGACAAGACTTGTCTACTGGCTGGAGCCGAGCAGTGGAGGGCCCAGCGCACAACCCCTGGTCAACTCAGGGTCCACACCCCGTAGTGTTTTGTGTGTAGTTTTATGTGGATACTTTGTGGCACGCATGTGCGCCCCCCACCAGTCTCGATCTGGACGATCTCCGCACACAGATCGTGAATAGAAATGAAGGATTCGCGGGGCAGCGCAGGCTGGGTCGCGCCACAGTCACTCTGCAGCCATGGGGGCGCTCGAGGCAACCGGCAAGGCCTCACTTGGTGAGTGAGAGGTGGGCAGGGCGGTGGCTGGTGTTGACGCATGCCACGCTCCACACACCGCGGCGGCGGGCCGCCAGCCCGCCGGGAGCTGAACCGGCGGCGGCCCAACAGCCAACACCCAGCTCAGTCGATCTGCAGGCGAAAGGACGACGACCCGATCTGGACCACGTCCCCCGGCCGCAGCTGCACGAGCGCCTCCCCGATGAGGCCTAAGGACGGTGAGGCGAGGGCGGAGCGAGGAGGCGCCTTCTCAACGGCAGCTTCCCATACCCCCACAGTACCCGAACCCAACCCTACCCCTACCGTACCCAAACCCTAGGCGCGCCTTCTCGATGGCCGCCTCCGCCTCTGCCACACTCGCAGCTCGCACGGCGAGCGCCTCCTCGCGCAGAGACAGCGCCTAAGGTGAGGTCAGGTACACCTCTCCACACACACGAGGGTGTGGTGTAAGGTTTGTCTTAGACAT